ATGTGTATCTAGAACAGTCAAGGTGAGACAGTGCTAAAGTTCATGGTTACACAAATGCAGTGTCATGTGCACATACTTGCATAGTGTAGCTATTTTCCATTTTCCTATCACAATATAAAGGAATGAGAAGTGGTTAGAGAATTCTGGTCAATTTCCAAAGGTATGACTGACGTTTTAACTTGTTGTGACATGTAACAGCGGCATAACATGACAAGTTTCAGCTCTCACATCCCATTTTTTGAATGGAGACATGGTTTTGTTTTTGACCACAAACAATGGTTCCTAAGATACTCTCAAGTGAACTACAACTTTTAAAAAAAGTCACAATATAAAATTCAAAAAGAGAATATCTATTTCTTTAAGCTTATTAAAAACTTTAAATAACCTGGGACACTCTTAAAATAAAGGACTGCACTGATCAACTCATGTATGTCTATAAGTGCTGTATTCAGTACTGGTAGTGTATTGGTTTTGCATTAGTTAAATCCCATGTGTTGTTAATTGTATGTGTAGCAGAATAAAGACAGTACTGCCGAGTCTGGTTATGTGACTGAGCTTTGTGACTTGAGACTTTGTGGCCTGACCGAACCAACGCCATTTTTTCAGTCACCGTGATGATGCTACGTCCATTATTTGGGTGACGCTTCAGTGCAGATTATATTGTCTTACTGAACCGTTGCATGTGTTGCTGAGAGATTAAATGTTTCTCAGAGGATGAGCACCAGTGTCTTTGGTCAAGTTTTACCTCTGGGAAAAGATCAAGTTAATGGATGTAAATGTTGCTTTATGGCAGTTGAAGTGTACACGTGCTCCCACCTGTTCTTCCTCCATGTACTGCTCATCCCTCTCTTGTTGTTTAAGAAATAGGAGTTTCTCCAGTGCTCTCTCATCTGCCTGCTGCTGTCCCCTCAGGTACACTGGGACATTTCTTTGGGTCCACTGCATACACTGGTAGCACAGCTCCTATAGTCATAAGAAATCAAGCAAATGACTGATACTGCACAGTGTACACTAAGCTTGCTAGCAAACCCTTATTTACACATCCAGCAGAAACCAGGGAAACACTGGAGCCTTGTTTGAAAGACTAGTCTAATGTAACGATGTAATTCCCTTTTTACTCTGTCTTTGGAGCTACCAATGAGCTGCTAATACAGTCAAGCCCATAATTATTTATACCCCTGCAAATTTTAACTTAAAGTTAAGTTTATTCAACCAGCAAGTTTTTTGTGTGTGACTGGAAAGACATAGGT